AATTTGAAGGTCAGGGCACATTGGAGGACCCTTGGGTTGTTAACATGGATTCATTGATATATCCTTCGCCAGGCAATTGTCAATATTTAATACAGCTGTAATATATATATATATATATATTGTGAGCCTCTTCTAGTTGCCAGGATGAAGATGGTATTCTATTGGAGAGTGATGCGCATGCTGAGATTGATGCTCCTAATCCTGAGAGGGCAGTCCAGGCAGCTGCGGCGGTGGCATCACAATCTTCAAAGTGGTCTGTCTTTTATGTGGTGACGTATGAGTGTGGGAGTTAATGATATGACAGTGACAGAACAATCCGTGGGATGAACTTGTGCTTGGTGTGTCTAAGGTGTGTTTTTCCCACATTGCAGAAGAACGACAGCCCGTTTCAAATTTTACCTCAGTTCCTGACAGTGCTGGGAAAGAAAATTGACCAGGGTACTCTTCAGCAGGACTGTCTTATGATCGTTGTTTTTTCAATAGCGCAGATCTTTTTTACCGCAGTACATCTGTGTACTGCAGTGTATGTATATATATATATATATTTCGATCCAAAAACAGAACATCAGTGCAGGAAAGGTTGGCGCAAATGAGCAATCCAAGAGCAAAGGAGAGACTAAGCTGTATGTGTTCTATTGCTTAGTTGACGCTACAAAGGCATGTGCTGACCTTTCCAGTTCTTGTTTTGTTGGGCTATCGGCTTGGAAACTGCCTACCTAGGATTGCAACACATGTGCAATCCTTGATCTCTGGGCTGAACAACACCTACAACAAGCTGACCACTCTCCAAGCAGAGTATCTGTCCATGGATCCTTCAGAGTGCGGGCAGTTGTGAGATGTCATCCATGGTACACACATGTCGATGTGTTGAAGTCCCTGATTTTGGTACATACAACTGTCTATCATAGCCATGTCAGGGGTCTGGAGCAGAAGAAGAAGGATGCCCTGAATCTTTTTGCGCAGTCCACAAAGGATGATGTGGCATTGAACAACTACCTTGTCAGAAGCAAGAATCAAGTCTGCACGTGCAAATCTTTTGGACTGTTTCAAATTGATGTCTCATCTCAACATGGGCGTCCTGAGGAACATCAAGGCTGGACCTGCAGACACTCCGGGAAGTTCAAGGTCCAAGGCCAAGCGTGAGAAGAAGGAGAAAAAAGAAAAACCTGAGAAAAAGGAAAAGGAACACCCTAAGAAGGTGAACAAAAAAGGTAAGGGGAAAAAGGCTGACAAGTAGAGGAAGCTTTTGTATGGTGCCGATTCAAATTTGATGCTGGCTGGCTAGAAGCGTTGACGATAAAATTTCGATGCAAAGTGTAAGTCACAAAAGGTTGTGTTGATTCCTAGCTACAGCAGCAGTGGGTTGGAGCAAGTGTTATTCAACACTTGCTGGATTGCCGCTTTAGATTTGAGAGCGCATTGTGGGGTCGAAAAAAGATTCAATGCACAGTCTGCTTTGACCTTCCTGTTTACTCGCCCACTCAAACAAGTGAGCAACAAGATCCATGTTGTTTCTTGCCGCTCGCAGGTCTTCTTCCGGTTGAAAGTGATTGTCCTGAAGTTGGCCTGGGCCTTTTGCTGAGATGTGCATCACATGTGAATGGCCTTCCTTTGATTGCTTGCTTGAGGCTCATCTGATTCGGAGGACTTGCTGGATGCATTCTGTGCTGGTGCTGAGACGGGGGTTTCTTGGCTGACCTTTGATGATCTTTATGCATGCCATTGGTAAGTCTTTGCAATATATGTATCTGTTCTTCCTTCTTGCCCTAGGCTTCCTCAGCCACTGCAGTCATTCACCTGGCGTCTGTTGCATCGAATCGAATGAGACGACTAGGCGGTTGTGTCTGGAAATGTATGAACGGGATTGAACTTGAAAGAAGGTGCTGTTTTGATATCCCTGTAGGTGTTGTTGACCCTGAGCTTGAAAAACTGGCTACTTACAGACACTCCAAGACTGGCAAGACTGGTGGAAATGCATCCAGGGACTTTGACCGGTACGTCCACAAGTCTGGTAGGGTTTTTCCAGTTCAGACGTCATACACCAAGGTGCCCATCCGGACCAAAAAGAGCAACAAACTAGGCAAGTTGGTCCGTAGAGAAGTCACTGTGGACTTTCCTGTGCTCTCTTTGTCCAGTTGGGTAGCTTCCCTTGCGCGTGAATGTCCAATGTTTCTCTTGGGTGGTCACTCAGATGTTCGTGAAAACACCGTGTTCGAAGACATGCTTGATGAGTTTTGGACAAACTTTCGGGTGGTACAGCCAGACCACCCACTATATCAGAAGCCCAAAACCTCTTGGAAAACTTTTCTACCTGCCTGTGATGGTGTTGGCATTTCAACTGATCATCCCCTACACTGGTGCCAACAAACTCAGCTCAACCAAGTAGCTTGGCCCTAAGTGTTTTACTTGTATGCACAGGTATGTGATTCTCCTGGGTCTTTGCTTCCAGCAGCTTCTTAGGCATTCATTTACAACACGCCTTCTCTATTCGCTCATACCTAGCACGTGGTATGCAAAGAATGACGCGAGCATTGATGCACTGACAAAGTTCATGGCTACGGATTTGCAAGTGCTCTTTGATCAGGGTGTGGCTGTAGATGAGCTTTGTCATAAATGTACCATATACCGCCTTAGTTGTCTTTCCCAATCTCACTCTCTGCATTTTTGCTTTAACTGGTTGCCCTGTTACCCCCCACCTGTTTTTGCCTCAGGATGGTCATGGTGGCAAAAGGACTCTGCATTGTGCATTAGTGGCCATCAAAGGAGACTGGCCTTTTGTCAGAAAGGCCATGCATTTAGTTCCGGGATATTCTTCAACTCGGAAGTGTCATTTGTGTCCAGGAAATGACACTGAGTTTAAATCAGTTCAATTTTTGCATTTGCACGCATTCCCAGTCACTAGTCAGTACTTGGCCCTGACCAAGCCATCTGTTTTGCTGCCAGGAATGGTGGAACGTTTCATCTTCAGGGCAAGCCCGGAGCTGGAACTCAGAGTCTCCAAACCCATACAAGGCCAAGCGTGCTCCCCTACGTGATGTGGCTGGTGCAAACACACCGGATATCATCAAGCCAGATTTACTTCATTGTTTTAGTCTGGGTGTGTGTGGAGATATGGCAACATCTACGATCGTAGGATTGGCTCGTATGAAAGTCTTTGAAGGCAGGTCCTTGGATTCCAGATTGGATCACGCCTTTGCTTTGTTTGAAGCCTGGTGCCGAGACAACCATGAGACAGCTTCAGTGAAGGAGTTTGACAAAGCAAAGTTTCACATGACATCGTTGCCTAGTCCCATTAGTGATGTGATCTTAGGTGTGCTTCTTAGGTTCTCGGGCCCCTTGTTTTTTCTTGGATGATCTGAGGTTGCGGACTTATCCACGGGGACTGTCCAAGGCATATGACAACACACTACTCTGCAAATTCCTTGAATCCTTCTTGTGTGAATTGGATCCATCTTCACTTGACACTAGTCTTCACATATTCTTCGATACCTGGTTGATGTGAAACTTAAACACCTACTAGTCTTCCAGGATGCTTTCTGGAAACCAGCCCAGGCGAGTCGTGATGCAGAGATGGTGGAGGTGATGAAGTGGGCGTTTGTGGTTACTAACCGTTTCTTCCGTCTCCTGTATGGTCAAGGAATTTGGATCCCTCTGGAATTGGCCAAAACAGCAGTTAGAGATGGTTTCTGGATGGTAGACGCTGGGATGCATGCATTCCTATTCCTTGCCAGTGCCACTGTCTAGGTTTTGGTGTGTGTGTGTACACTGTGCATGCAAGGAAGCCTATGCAGGATTAGCCTCTTTGGCAACATCTCGCAAATGGGCACTCTACCGGGTTCGACCAAAGCTTCATTTGCTGACACACAGTGTGAGCCTTGTTCCAATATATAAGGCATGTGTTGCTGATATCGGAACCAAATATGAAGTGTGCTGTGCTGGTTTGAGTGTGAGGATGATGTGTTGATGTGTTTCGGTGAGGAAAACCATGGAAAAGGAAATGGAAAGGGCGTCTTCCGGATCGCTGCGCGCTATCATGAATCCGGTGTGTTTCTTGCCTGTCTGGTGAATAAGTGGTTTCAAGATTCTGAGCGTTTCCCCAAATATCACCCCTAAATGTACAGATTAATGCTGGAAGTTAAACCCTGGGTCATTTTGTCAATATGATCCAACCAAATAGAAGCCACACTACATGCAAGAAACCACCACAGTTGTGCTAGCTCAGGTTGGGCATGTTGGAGTGATGAGGATTATATCGGCAGGCTGTGTAGAATTGCACGTCGACTCAATGCTGGTGCAATGATCACCTGCCGTGTTTTTACTAGAGCAAAGATGCACTACTTGCGGCACTTTCGAAGGGTGCTGTGAACAGGTGAGTGCCAAAGGTGCGCACATGTGTACCAGTGTGATATGGACAGACTCTGAGGAAGTGAAAAGGCATGCCTCGAGCACTTTTTAAGCAAACGAGCGTTTTTTCCAAAACGTAACAAAAACCAATGGTCTCGAGCAGAAAAAGCTCGTAGCACAAATATATGTATCAATGGATGGACCAGGTAGTATGTTATATATATTTTATATAGTATGCACAACCCAATGGACGTGGCAAAGCTTTTCGCCTTCGCGACGTTCCTTCGATCTTAGACGTGCCGCACATGGGAACCGGTGCACCGGCACCTCTATTGCATGTTTTCTGTGACCTCAAGTGCACATATATGCAGATTATCTGTATATAAATATATGTATCAGATGGTGTTGTCATGGGGATTTATCCACAAGAACCTTGTCTTAGTTTTCCCTATAAGGTGGTTTATATCACGTTGGCCAAACAAAGACTGGGATTGGTTTGTCAGGATTTTTCTTTGGGGAGTCATAGTACCTTGAATGAAACCACTCGGTACACACCAGAAAATAGATCTTTCGTTCGCAAGCTTCAAGTGCTTCCCGCTGCTTCCCGCTGCTTCCGTCTCACCGCCTCAACCAGCTTTCACAGTCTCACGGCCCAGGCACCTTTGGATGAAAGGTGTCGTCCCGGTGAGTAGCTGTTTGGATGATCGTTTGAGAGCCTAGTGTTGGGTGTGGAGGTCACGTGGGAGCTGATCTTGAAGAGGTCACTTTCTTTTATCATTTCGTTCGAGACAGAAACAGAGATGTTAAAAAATTGCATGCATGTTCAAACTCTGCATGGATGTTCAAACGCTGCAACACCGTTTGATGTTTTTTGTTCCTTTTCCATCTTCTTCCTGTTGCCACATCAATGTGCTTCTTTGGCCTCGGCCTCGACGAAGTAACTTATATAGTGCACCTGTGGTATGGAAGAGCTGTTTGCTCAGACAGTTACATGGCATTTACTTCACTTGTTCGTGAGGCTTTTGGGCGGTGCTTCCTGGATGGGTAAGGAGTGAGATGTTCAGTCCCTAGGGTAGGTAGGTTGAGAGTGCAGATTGCACGCCTAACTCACCAGCAAATCACAAGAGCCTTGCTTTATGTGGATTCCCATCAAATATGGTGCATGGGATTGTGCTCTAGTTGTGTCATTATACTCATGCCATCCCTGTCAGAGGACAAGATGAAACACATCATATAACAGGTATGTTGAGATGTTTCAAGCATTGTGCTGCAGCATAAAAGATCTCGTGAGATTTGAAAGATCAGATCGAATCAGGCCTGCAAGTTGCAGATTGCGAATGCTGTATTCAAACAGATGGAGCATTTCCCCCAGAATCTATAATATTACATAATGTCCTGCAAGAAGTCTAACAGCCCCCTTAAGGTGACATGCAGTAATAGTAGTCCAAGAATAACCCGGGACCCAGCACAGACCATGTTTCTGTACACAATCCCACGTTTCTCATCTAACCTAAAGTCGTTAGGCAACCAGAAGTCGCACCCATCGTTCCTCCTTCGCGACGGACCGCCGCACCTCTCCGGAAGTCGCACCCCTCACATCGCTGAAAAACAGTGCTGGACAGGTCATCCACAGGTGGCCGTGCCAATGGAGCTCCTCTTTGGCCTTGAATCGCTCCTTGGGCGAAGAAATGTCCGGGAGACAAAACATCGGGTTGGAGGCCATCGCTAGTAGGTTGGACGCCAACGCTATTAGGTCGGAGCTCCGAGGCAAAGAAGAGTGTGTCTTGTCATTACTTACCCTATGCATTGATCCACAGAACCGAGGGTGATGTGATCATGCATGTGAACCGAGGGTGAACCTGAACCGAAGGTGCTTGGTATGTGGATCCTCAGGGTTCGTACACATATCGTGTAATTATTGGGTGACCATGGCATTTGTTGCAGGTGTTGATGTGTGAATAAGTGTGACTGAGGCTGCTCTTTTTGATGTGTGCCCATGTTAAAGCATCACATTGTGCCACAGGATGTTTGCTCATTTGAACCTTGATTGGATTGCCACATAACTGCACATTGTTACAGGCGGTCTTGCGCGTTCTTCCATTTGCTGCAAAGCACACGGGGGAATCTTCGACGTGACCATTTGCAGGTTGCATGGGGCGGGTGAATCGGCTGATTCAGAGGTGCGAAAGCAGAAGCAACGGTTGAAGCATTGGATGCTCGGAATGCTGATGGCGCGGGTACTGTGTGCACCCTAATCCTTCTCCTTCACCGTCATGAATATCGTTTCAGAATCTTGGTAAAGAAGGTTGCTGCCTGTATTGGCTGCTGTTCATGGGATGAGCATGTTGTTGCAGAGACTATGTCCCGGCAGAAACTGGTGCAGGTGAGTGTCGCTGTGCCATTCGTATTGGCGTGTCACCTGCTTGATGGAATTGAGGGAATTCAGTCTCGCACGTGCCAAGTCAAGGTGCACCTCCTGGACGTCAGGGGTACTTTGTGGAGGATGGCTGCACAAACCAGAGAGATGGGAAGCTGCCCAGCGGCTTTGGCACTGGTGTTAGAATCCGTTCATGAGCTGGGCAAACGAGGAGGTGCCTCAGCTGGGCATTCGCCTCACTGCAGAAATGGAAGCTCTCGCCTCCGCTCGCCTCCATTGAATGCACTGGTTCAGCCGCCTGAGGCGCCGACGGTTTTTCCCCGCAAATGGCGTGGGAAATCTCGATGCTGTTTTTCCACTCAGCAGTTGACCTGGCTGACAACATGATCATTGAATATGCACATGCCAGTTGAAAGGTGGATTGAACATGTATATAGAAGCTTTTTCACCCAGTCAGTGTGCGTGTGTGTGTTTTTGCTTTCCGAATGCGTCGACCATGCAGAAGGCCGGTTGAACCGGTGGGCTTACTTTACAGTCTTTGGCATGGTGGTGACTTCTTTGGCCAACCATGGTTGGCCAGGGTTCCCCAACTCCAGATGGTATCGGACAGAGACTCGAGGCCATGGAGGTCCTTGCAAGTCATCTACAGGCACCCCAACCCGTAAGTGCATGGTCCAGGTATTTGCTGGCCAGGTTCAGAGGCGACCCCCCAAAAGCTCCATTGTTTGTACATCTCTCATGCTTCGTCGCTATCACTTTGGCGTCATTAATTGCATGCTGCCGGCTAAAGGTATGAGACCTGACCAGCGACATCTTGCAATCTGAAACTGTCATATGAGTCATATGAGGTGACATATCATATATATATATACATGTACTGTGAATTTTCAGTTGTGAACCATTCAGCATGTCGAGAGCTCAGCCATCGCACTTCCCTTTCCGAAGCCTTTTCGGGCACGAGTCCGTTGGGTGGTGAGGGTCAGGGCCCTACGAGAGGCCGTTGAGCCATAGCGTGAGGACACGCTCGGTTGCTTGGCGAGGACGCCAATTTCGTTCAGGCAGTGGCGGAGGAAAAGGCCGCTTCTGAGGTGCTGTGGGCACCAGCTGAAGGTCGAAGGGCTACCAGTGTGGGCAATCCACATTGGTAGCGGAGCTCCGCTCCAAAGCTCCTGATCGTTGGCCTTGAGCAAGCGCGTGTTGGAACTTGAAGTGTTGGCAAATCCCGGGGCGGGACGTTGGTTGTTGCATTGATCTCATTGGTCGAACGTTGTGTCGTACATTGTGATTGGCAACAGCAGTGCATTGTTGACACAAGGCTACAATACATTGTTTTGCTTGGTTGAGTTGAGTTGATTTGAGCATTGGTTGACCGTTGGGGAACGTTGAGACATTGCTTACATTGCTCAATTTTGTTTTGGCCAACGCCGTGGTGAAGAAAGGTGAGCGGTTCCAGGGAGGCAGACATGCCAGAGACGGAGCCATCCGGCTCGACGTCGGGCAGTGGTGGCCTGAGCCACCTCCCATGGAATCAGGTGCCTCATTTCCGACCTGGAGAAACTGATCTGACTGAATGGACAAAGAAAGTCGAGTTCTTGGCACAATTATGGCCTCCAGAACATCTCCAACACCTGGCACCCCGGATTGCACTTCAGTGTGAGGGATCCGCATTCCAGCGAATCTCACGACTGGACCCAAAGGTGCTGCGGGTCAACTCTGTAGACGGGGTCAAGGCAGTGGTTGAACAGCTGGGAGGAATCTGGGGTAAATCCAACCTCGAATCCAAATTTGAGCGTTTTGAGCGTGCCATTTATAGTACAGTTCAACGGTCGGACGAGACCAACGAAAGCTACCTGGCAAGACACGACCATCAATTCGAGGAGCTCCTCAGCATGAAGGTTGCCATGGATGAGTTCCGTGCATACATCCTTTTGCGGAACTCGGCTTTGAGTGCTGAAGACAAGAAAAGGTTGATTGTCGAATCTGCTGGATCCTTAGATTACAAGACCGTTGTCACCAACCTCAAGCTGCTGGGAAGCAAGTCTTTCCAGGAAGTCCATGCAGGGAAGGCTTCAAGTGCTCGGTCCAAGACCTACGAGGCCAATGCATTCGTGAGCCACGATGCAGGATCCACAGAGCTGCCCTCCGAAGACTCGGCATTTCATGCCGATGATTGGAATGAGGAAGAGTGGATTGAACAGTTGGCCAATGACGGCGACGAGGACGCTGCATTGATTTTGGACTATGAGCAATCCATGCTGGACACCATTCAAGAAGACGCTGATCTCGCATTGTCCCACACGACCTATGCCGAGGCCAGAAAGCGTCTGTCAGATCGATTCAAGAACCGTGGGTTCTGGTCGTCGGGTCCGCCAAAGGGCAAGGCCCGAGGGAAAGGAGGTGAAAAGGGAAAGAAGGGCTTTGGTGGCTTCCGCAATTCTGGCAATCGAAAGACATTGCAACAAAGGATCCTTGAGAGCACCTGCCGGATATGTGGCCGCAAAGGTCATTGGAAAGCCGAGTGTCCTGAGAGAGGACGTTCCAGCGAAACTGGCCAAACCACATTGGCAACCGCACCCACGCTGGTGACTCTGGAAGACGGAGTCGATGCTCTGCCCTTAGAGTTCATGAGCTTGCCTGAGGAGCCCATTGAATCCACACGGGACTCTTCACTGACTTTGTCAAGTTTTGGATTTTGTTTTGGGGTTTTGGGAAAACACGCTGGGCCCAATGCCATCAATGAAGGGGAAATCATTGAGAGTAATAGGGAAGCCATTGAGAAACCTGGCATGTCATGCATGAACGCACATCACGAATTCAGGAGTAGAAAGAATGCCGCCCACTGTGCTGAGAGTTTTGCCAGCACGTGCCTTTCGACCATGCCGCCTGAACCAGCCGGATCGCATTTTGCGACATACAATTCGTTAGGGATCATTGACACAGGTGCCACCAAGACGGTCATTGGAAGCCGACTCGTGGCCTCACTGATCCAGAGTCTATCGCCTGAGGTACGACAGCAAGTGACCAGGTGCCCATGCAAAGTCATGTTTCGTTTTGGCAACCATGGAACACTTGAGAGCAAGCATGCATTAGTGGTCCCCATAGGATCTTTGAGATTAAAGGTTGCAATTGTACCAGGTCAAACACCGTTCTTGCTGTCGAACACCTTGTTCAGGGCCATTGGGGCCACCATAGACACACGACAGGGCATGCTACACAGCACGATGCTAGAGAGATCCATACCTATCAACATCAACACCAAAGGTTTGTATGTTTTGGACCTCAACGAGCTAGCGAAGCCCTGCACAGCCAGTATGAAGCCTGCAGACACTTTTCACGTGTCCGAGCTAAAACAGATCGAAACGTGTGTCAGCCATCCGACATCAAGTCAGGACAAACCTCAGAAATCATCAGGCGTCCAGGTATCAGGTTCCACGGGACAAGTCAAACAGCTAATAGCCAAGTTCGATCGACCGTTCGCCGAATCGTGTGAACATGCAGACCACACCGGAAGAGGTCAGTTCAGCCATCTGCGAATGCCGAAGTCTCAGCGCTCAGATCCGTGCAATCCCCATCCTCGGCATACACTTCCTCAGACCCATGTCGAGTCAGAGTGCCACCGATCTCCAGGCCCGGTTGACCAGGGCACTGGGGGCATCTCAGACTCGGTCCGAGGAGATCTCAATGGCAGCATTTCGGGAGCTGACGCTGGAACAGCAAGGGACCTATCTGATCACGTTCGGAAAGGCCCACCGTGGCCGAAGCTATGCCGACATCTGGGAGAAGGAGCCAGGGTACGTGAAGTGGTTCCAAGCCACGTACCATGCCTCCACGAAGTCAGAGCATCAGCGCTTCCTCCACTATGTGACTCGACAGGTGGAACACTTCGAGGAGACAGCGCCGAGCCATCAAGTGACTCCCATGTCAGCTCCGAAGAGCAAGGCATATCCAAAGCCGAAGCCTGCACCAGCGCAAATGCCAGTGACAGCTCAGGACTTTGCCGACCTCAATGCCGAAGAGAGCTGGGAACCCGTGGAGCTGGAGGAAGAAACTCATCCAGTCTATGCGGATGTGGCCGCCCTGCAGGATCGCATGATGTACCTGGAGACTGCTCTCCAGGAAGTGATCGGCCATTTGCGTTCCTCAGCACAGAGTGGCTAGACAACTTCGAAACTAGGGAATGGAGTGAGTGTCTGAACACTGAATCATGTCCCAACAACATAGGAGAAAATCAAGCAAACCTGCATGGGAAGTTCGATAGATTGCTTCAACAGTTTTCGAAGGAAGCCAACGCTGT